CGTGCCCGATGAGGGGCTGCGGGCGGCTAGTGGCGCTGGGCTGGGCTGGCGGTGGCCCTGGCAGTGCCACGTGCCCTTTGCTTCATGCCAGGGCTTCAGGGCTATGAGCGGGGTGGTGGGGACAGAAGCTGCCCTGTCACCCCCGGGGCGGAGGGGCAAAGACGCAGCCTGGTCCCCGGCCTGGCTCCCAGCAGTGCTGGGCCCCCATCTTACCCTGCTCACTGGGGGCAAAACCCCTCAGCTTGGCGCTCGCTGCAGCTGCCTGTGCACCGGCTTCCAGGACAGCCCCGGTCCTGGGGACGGGTGTGGGGACAAACCGCGTTCCCTCTGCCTTCCGAGGCGCTCCCTTCCCCAGGCTCCCCCGTGGCTGGGCCGGAGCCCCTCTGGGTAGGGCCGCGGGCCTAATCGGAGGGCGTTGTGCCGCGAGATAAGGGCTGCGCAGCGAGCGCCCGGCGGGCGCGCGGCCTTGTCCTTGGCGCCCGGCTCGCCCCACCTCACTGACACGCCGCCTACTCACCGCCACTCGCCGCTGGGCTGCCGCGTGGGCCAAATACCTCCATTCCCCACCAAACCAATCCCTATTCCAACGAAGCTCTCCTGGGTGCTGCGGCCTGGCTGTGCCGCTTGGCCCAACTCCGGCCATGGGTGTCCCCTCTGCAAGGGTGTCTCTCCCCATGGAGAGGTGTCTCGGGAGAGGATCTGCCTACTGGCAGAGAGCCACAAGTCTTCTAACACGTGGTCCAGCCAGGGAACGGGGGAGCCCTGTGGCACGAAGGAGCCCTGGTTGCGTCGAGGTGGGGTGTGGAGACCAAGAGGACCTGGTCTATGTAAGGAAGGGGGATGCCCAGGATCCTGCCCCTCAGCCCTGCTGAGGCCACATCTGGAGAACCGTGTCCAGTTCTGGGCTTCCCAGGACAAGAGGGATGTGGATCTGCTGGAGAGAGTCCAGCGCAGGGCTACAAGGATGATCAGGGGCCTGGAACATCTGCCCTGGGAGGAGAGGCTGAGGGAGCTGGGCCTGTTCAGCTGGAGAAGAGAAGGCTGAGAGGGGACCTGAGCAGTGTCTAGAAGTACCTCAAGGGAGGCAGTGAGGAGGATGGTGCTGGCCTCTTTTCACTGGTGGCCACCGACAGAACTAGAGGAAATGGCCACAAACTGAAGCACCAAAAGTTCCACAGGAACTTAAGGAAAAATTTCTTCCCAGTGAGGGTGCCAGAGCACTGGAACAGGCTGCCCAGAGAGGTTGTGGAGTCTCCTTCTCTGGAGATCTTCAAACCCGCTTGGACGCAGTCCTGTGCCACGTGCTCTAGGTGACCCTGCGTGTGCAGGGGGTTGGGAGTAGATGACCTCTAGAGGTCCCTTCCAACCTTAATGATTCTAGAATTCTGTAATTCTGTGTGTCATGACATTTAGTCTCTAAAGCAGGGCTGTTTAAGTGCCCAGGGCATCAGAGCTGTGTTTTTTTTTCTCACTTTCCACCGGAGTTTGGGTTCAAGGCATGGAGGGTGCCGTGGCTGACGCCTTCACCACAGGACAGGTGAAATGGGGCAAAACAGCGGCCAACCCGCTCCAAGCCTTAGCGGGAGAACTGAGGCGCAGAGGGTAGCGCTGGTGGCGGGTGCCAGCACCCGAGCGAGCGGGCCGGGCACCCTCACCCCGGCCTGGGGAGCAGAAGGCACCAACGTTTGTTGTGGGACATGAGATAAGTAGCGGAGTCCAAGTCAACAACTTCCCCGGATGTTGTTCTCGACAGCTATAAAACGCAATTAATGCTGATACGCTGGCCTGAAAAAAAAAGGGAAATCAGCCCCAAAATGGGTGAAAGTTCATGGGCAGCTGCGGCAGCTGGGACTTTGCTCCAACAACCCCAGCCCCTCCTGTCCCCCACTTAGTGGAGGAGGACAACAACATTTAGCTAATGAATTACGGAGTGGCGTGGGTCCTTCCCTGCGGCCCAGCTATCACTCAGCGCTGATCCCCAATCAGGGCCCAGGTGATTTTGCAATCCTTGATGCTATTTCTGTGTGGTTGGAGTTTAAACTTTGCCACTTGGGCCAGGACACTGCGGAGGAGGAGGAGGCTGGGTCTGGCGTCCGACCCGTTGTGCCGCTGTGCCGAAGGGGTTGGAAGGACCAGAGGATTCCACAGACCCCACTCCGCTAGGGCTGTGATCTAGCACAGGTAGGTCCTGGATGCCGGTACCCACCGTTGGGTGCTTGAACTCCTCCATCGGTATGGGGACAGAGCAGGGCGCAATAAATCCCTGTGCCAGGGACATCTGGCCAAACATTGTCCTCAAACCTGACTTGAAGGGCTCTTAGGTGGGCAATCCATGGGTCAGGAGGGCTGGTGGGTCGGGGAGCAGCTGGGTGGTGGTTTGATGGTCAGTTGGTTGGTGGGTCAGCTGGTCAACAGGTTGTTTGGTTGGTCGGTTGGTTGGTTGGCCAGCTGGTTGGTCAGTCAGTCAGTCAGTCAATCGTTTGTGTGGCTGGTTGTCCATTTGGTCTGTTTATTGCTTGGTTGATTGATTAGGTGTTTGATTTGGCTGGATTATTGCTTGGGTGGTTGGTCAACTGTTTGGCTGGTTGGTCGGTTTGCCGACTGGTTGCCTGGTTGGCCAGTTGGTCAGCCAGAGGGCTGATCAGCTGCTTGGTCACCTAGTCCCTTGGCCAACTGGATGGGTCTGGGGTGTCAAACAGTGTCTGATAACTGGTGCGGTCCTGGTGGACCTGGGCTGAGTCCCCTCCTCAGGGCTGGCCAACAGTAGCCCCGCCCCCACCTCATTAGCCATCCAAACTGATTAACCTGATCTTCCCAAGCGCCTGAGGAAGGCGCTCGCGGTGGACAGGGCTGTTGGGGAAGCCGAGTGGGTGCCCACGTCTGGGTGCTCCTTCTCTTGCCCTAGGAGGCAGGGCCAAGGCAAGTGTGTGCCCTTGGGGAGGGTCAGCCTTTTTTTGGGAGGAAAAATATAGTAATTGGGACTTTTCAGCCATTGGAAAGGGGCTAAGGGGGGAAGCCGTGCCCAGCGGAGCCACCCCGGCTCACGTGCGTGCTCACGCGTGTGTCCTTCTTCCCACATGGGAACATGGGCTTGCCCAGACGTGCTCACATGTGCTCACACACGTGTCTGTGTGCAGATCCACACACATGCTGCTGCAGGGCCACGCGCATGCAGATGTGCATGTACACACAGCCATGGGGTCACACATCTATGCACAGATGCAGATGTTCCCCCTACACATACGTGTCAGCATGGCCACCAGTGTGCACAGTCACCCACATCCACGTGATCCTCCACGTGTCCGCATAGGCACAACCGGAGACACAACCCTAGCGTCTCACACCCGCGTCCCTTGCACCAGCCGTGCGCCCACCCCATGATTTGGGGTGTCCCCAAGCACCCCAGGGCCATGTGGTTTGGGGATGGGCCTGGGGCCACGAGTCACAGGGATTGGGCGGACAAACACCCCCCAGGGGAACCAGGATTGGTGGCACCTCTGGCCTCTCTGCCTCTGCTGCCCCCCAGCCATGGCCTCCAGCGTGGGTGGCCTCGACAGCCTCGACCTGCTGGACCTCCTCTTCGACCGTGAGGACGGGATCCTCCGCGGTGTGGAGCTGCGGATGCCCGCGGGCTCCTGGCACGAGGACGTGGTGAGTCCCGGCAGGACGCCCTGCCCCACACCTTGCACAAGGGCCACGTCCCCGGCGCTCGCACGTGAGCTGGGGGGACGCGCGGAGCCCGCCCGGCGGGGCGGCTTCTCGGCGCCCTGTGGGCACAGGTTCCTCACACTGATGGGTGCCCCTGTGCCCGCAGCGTGCCCAGGACGGCGAGGACTTCCTCAGCTCCATCCTGGGCTCCGGGGACTCGGCATCAGACTCTCCCAGCTGGTCACCAGCTGCCAGTGACAGCGGGGTCTCCGCGGACC